CCCATGATATTACCACTACAATCTGCTATGACTGTAACATTACCTAGTGGACCTGTTAATTCTACCTTACACAGACCCTTTCCTGATAGACTTATTTATATTAAAGGTTTTGAAGACACAGTAAGCATAATCCCAGGTTTTTTTTTCTTTTTCCTTATATGTTCCGGGTGTCTACTTGAGATTGCCCCTTCCATTTAAGAGTATATTTTATTTTTATTTCGGGTTAGGGAGGGTTCTTCTACTCTCAGCAGGCCTGAAAATGCATTGAAATCAAGGAGAATATGATGGACTCCCACAAAGGCAGTCTGCAAGAGTTGGTTGCATCTGTCTATCAGTTTCTTGCAGAGCACCTTCAACATGCGAGTTACTTTCGTAGAGCAAACAAATTTACTATTTCATTTGCTTAACTTTATGTGTTATATTTTCAGATCGAAGTGTTAGCTTCTCTGCAGAAACCTAAAAAAATTACTATGATAGGTAGTGATGGTAAAAGATATGTTATGATGTGTAAACCTAAGGTATGAGCTATAGTCATACAAAGATATTAATGCAAGTCTGTAAAACAGTCCATTTTGAGTTGTTAAAGTTTAAGTAGTAATGAACTAACTAGAGATTGTATCAGTCAACTTTATTTGGAGATAGTTTAGATAGTAATGAACAGCATTCTTGGAATACATAGTTATTGTTGTGTCATTTAGGTCCAAATGAATGAAAACAGCTCATTTGCTGTACTTTTTTTGGTTGAATGGCTAACTTTAATCAATGCAATTTATTGCTGGAAATTGAGTTATAACTTTGAACAATTTTGTACAAGTCATATGTAAAATTGAAGCCAGTTAAAATATATCGCAAATATTCATACACAGATATTTGTATTTATTATAATTTTGAACATTTTGGATAACAAGATATTGTATCTTTTATTTTGGCAATTTTGATTTTTCCCAAGTGTCAAGGTTTTCTAAAAAAAAAAGGTGATATTGGCTTGGGAATAATTCATTGGAATATATATATGTGATATATTATATTATAGGATGATTTACGTAAAGATTGTAGATTAATGGAGTTCAATGCTATCATCAATAAATTCCTACGAAAAGATCCTGAATCACGGAGACGAAATCTACATATGAGAACCTATGTGAGTTATCTCAAATTACAGTAGACTCATCAAGATAAGATATTGACAATAGACAATTATTTTTTGCTCATAACAGGACACATCCTAACCTTCATTTTAAAAATGCATGCTTTCATGTATAAGTCACCAATCTTTTGACCTCTAACCTTTCATGTTCATGTTAGGATGTGAAACTCCATTCATTTCATTTCATTTTCACATTTTAATGTTAAACATTATTCAATATGACTTTAAATTAGAGGTATAGTGGAGCAATAAAAATGTCCATCTCATGTATCATTTTCAATTCATTTCACAGAAGCTTCGGTCAAAAATAACCTCATCCCTAATTAAGGCTCAGATATTTCATAAGTGAATACTTCTCTATACTGATAACTGATCACAATTGTATGGATAACAATTACTTGAAAAAATAAATTGGGACGTATCACTATGGTACTTTCATCTTTATCAAGCAATGATACAGTTAGTTTGTATATAAATTTGTTTGTAAATAAATGTTATCCATATAATTTATTCCAGTTATTTATGCCCCAATTGCTAATTTCCACTTAAGTAAGTTACACTATATTAAAAATCATTCTACAAATATCTACAATGTTTTTCTTAAAACAGAATGGTTTTCTATGCCTAAATCTAAATTTTGAAGAATGTTTTTGCAGTCTGTGGTACCATTAAATGAAGAATGTGGATTTATAGAATGGGTAAATAATACCAGTGGACTAAGATATATACTAATGAAGTTATATAAAGAAAAAGGACTGTATACATCAGGAAAAGAATTGAAGGCCTTAATGCCCTCTATCCATTCATCAGATGAGTAAGTTGGCTGCTAAAATATACATGTACATAGATAGAATTACATATTACAAGATGTATCACTATACATTTATCAGTCGTATTAAGATGAAACTCTCATTTCTTTTTCATTAGCTTTTATTTTGATGAAGCCACTAGAGTAAGGGTCTAACAACGGGCCTCTTGAACATTCATCCCAATAACTTTTAGATCTAACTTGATGACCTCTGCTTTAACCAATAGAATTTCTTCCTTCTCCAGCACTTGAGTTTTGTGACATGAACAAAAGATGTCTTCCCAGAAACATAATACTAGTTTATCAAGTCCACTCAAATTGAAATTAGCACACGCCTTTTTATTGGATGGTTCGGAGTGTCTGCGTATGTAAATATTGACACGAGGTCTGATATATGCAGTTTGTAAAGTTTGCACACATAACAAGATCTCTTATAGTAGATAACAATATTTTGCTATTATACTACGACAAGATAAAAATCAGCAGAGATATTTTGCAGCCAATTTTAAATGAAAACAGTTAGTCATGTAAAGATGTAGGAACACGAGCGGTCTTGGTCGATTAGTCACGGATTAGAGTCTTGAGTAAAATCTTGCATGTGCCCGTGCTTCCACGTCAAGATTATCGTGTCCCCAACAGGATTTATACTAACAAGTTTGATAATTGTTTCCAATAGTTTTATCATCAAGACAGACCGTGATCATCCTATTAGATTCATTTTCCTTTCAATTGCATGCTTCGCACTTGATTTTCAACATGATTGAAAACGACTAACTGGAGATTTTTTTATCTCCTTGTGTGCAGTCAGTGAAACTCCTTACAAGACCTCTATGACCAAGACTGCTCGTGTGCTGGCGCCTTAGCAAATCTTGCTTGGACTAGGCTGAATAGTAGTGTTATTATTTTGTAAATTTTGTTTGTCCAGAATAATGCTTTTGTAACACTGCTTGTTCATTTTGTTTTTTTATATATATACAGAACAAAACTTCAGGCATATAAAACCAAATTTTTACCAAGACATCCACCAGTTTTCAAAGAATGGTTTTTAAGAACTTTCCCCAACCCTACCTCATGGTAAGCTATTTTGAGAAACACCAGATTTACAATCAATTGGTTCACAAGGGATAAGCAGGATATTATCTTTAGAACAATTTTATGATCAATGCAACATGGGCAGTTTTATGTTCAATACAACATGGTCAGTGTTATGATCAATGCAACATGGTCAGATTTATGATCAATGCAACATGGACAGATTTATGACCAATAAATCATGGACAGATTTATGACCAATGCATCATGGACAGATTTATGATCAATGCATCATGGACAGATTTATGATCAATGCAACATGGGCAGTTTATGATTAATGCAACATGGGCAGTTTATGATCAATGCAACATGGACAGGTTTATGATCAATGCAACATGGACAGTTTTATGATCAATGCAATATTGGCAGTTTTATGACCAATGCAACATGGGCAGTTTTATGATCAATGCAACATTGACAGTTTTATGATCAATGCAACATTGAGAGTTTAATGATCAATGCAACAATGAGAGTTTAATGATCAATACAACATTGAGAGTTTAATGATCAATGCAACATGGACAATTTTATGATCAGTGCAACATGGACAATTTTAAGATCAATGCATCATAGACAGTTTTAAGATCAATGCAACATGGTCAGATTCAATTAATGATTTCAAATTTTATTGTGTAGTATTTGGGGATCACAAAAGAAATATTTCTATATGTTTTTGATAATGATCATATTGAAATCAGATCTAGGGGTAACAAGAAATCAGAAAACTAGGCATGTCTTTAATATTGCTGTACTGCCTGGGCCTTCATTAAAGGGACAAGTGTGTCATCCGTTTGACCAATCATATCCTATTCTTAGAAAGAGGAATTTAAAAAGTGTTCACAGCTCTCTGTCTAAATTTGCCTTACAATTCATGTATGTCAAAGAATTATCTCGAAAATTAAAAAGAAGACACGTCTTTCTTGAGATTTTAGAAAAGATATAGAAATAGAAACTGAAATTCTTAGTTTGAGGTAATTTTGAAGGAATTATGCGATTCTAGTACTCATAAAGACAATCAACCCCCAAAAATGTCAAACCTTCCCCTTTAAGTAATTTGCATACAAACAAGTTACTGTATTTCAGTAATATTGAGCATCTATATGTGCTTGTAAAAATATTGTTTATTTGATAGTTCAGATTATATTATTTTCTAATCTAGGTATAATGCAAGATTAGCCTATGCTAGAACATCAGCTGTTATGAGTGTAGTTGGATATATATTAGGTTTAGGTGATCGGCATGGTGAAAATATTCTCTTTGATTCTACTACAGGTGATACTGTACATGTTGATTTTAATTGTCTCTTTAATAAGGTAAGCAGGATCCTTTCTTGTATAATGTTCATACTGATTGTTTCTTGAATATGATACACTTTTATTTCGAAATCTTCAAGTTTTGTTATAATTGTCTAGGTAATTTTCAGTTGTCTACTTTACTTAATAACTTTTTTGTTGATTTGTTTTTTTTCATTCTGTTGGCCTGCAAATAATATATTTTTGTGGGTTTTTTTATCAGGGAAAATTGAAAGATAAAAAGAACTGTGCATACATGCATGTACTATATCTTTGGAGGAAACCTAGTGTGACAGAATTTTTTTTAGTTATGGAGTTAGGTAAATGTTATATATTTAAATGATGATTTGATTTTTAGGGTGAAACATTTGAATGGGCAGAAAAGGTTCCATTTAGACTGACACCAAATATGATTGATGTTCTAGTAAGTATGAATCTTATAAATTACAGAGGTCAGTTTTAGACATCCTGGCCACTTTTTTAGAACTCAATTCTGCTACTGGACTGTGGTCATTCTGATACATTCTTATGTACATTTTTAACTTCTGACATAAAACTGCACTTGACTATATACATTTTTTTTTCAATTGTTTGAGATACCCACAACAGATTTTAATTTTGATAAGTGACATGTATAGCTGAAATCAACTTCTCTGGCTGGTAAGATAAATATATAGAGGACTGTATGCCTTTAATGCAAATCAATCAAAGCCAACAGTACAAGGGAATAAAAATTTCTTACAAAGTAGTGGAATTGGTCAAATTCTACTGAGTAAAGCTATGAAAAGAAAATTTGCGAAAGGTTAAGAGTATGTTCACAAACTTAAATTTTTGTTTGTGTTTCTTTACTTTCTGTCAGGGACCAATGGGTGTAGAAGGTATATTTAGAAGAGCTTGTGAAGTCAGTTTAAGAGTTATGAGAGATCAAATGGATCCATTAATGAGGTAAAAACATGTAAATAATGAAATCTGTCCTATGTGTTATCATATGATAAAAGTGAGAAGTAAATACATCGCTAAAATTTTCCAAATCATTTCATCTGACGTCGAAAGCTCTTAAAAGGTGTCTTCTTACTAATAACATGAGTGATTAAGTATTACTTTCAATTCTATGTGCTGTCATCACTTAAAGGGACAGGTGCGCCAATTTTTTTGACCAATCATACTTGAGTGTCAGAAACGGGAATTTTTTAGCTAAGCCAGTCAGTAATAGTGTTCACAGCTCACTTCAAAATTTGAGCCTTCATATCTGTGTGTGTTCAGAATTATCTGCATTTGAATGTTAAAATGACGTAATATACTCTGTGATATAAAGAAAAGACCTTATATAGAAATAGTAAGTAAAATTCCTAGTTTGAAATATTTTTTAAGGAATTATTCGATTCGATTATCGTTCATTTCTTGTAGTTATGAAGACTATTTACATATTTTCAAGGCTCAAATCAACCCACCAAAAATTGCACACCTGTATCAGTGATAATCTTTCTTTGCTGTCATAATGTTTTGTAAGTCACATAAGAAAGTTGTTATTGAATCATACAAACCTTAGATATTATGTGGTCTATAATATTCTGATTTTTTTTTTTTTTAGTGTGTTACGGCCATTTATACATGATCCATTAGTTGAATGGAGTAAACCAGCTAGAGGTCAAAGATCAAATCCAACAGATACTGGAGAAATCTCAAATGAACAAGTAATTATCAAGTTTTTTTGTAGAATCTAGAAATGTAGAAGAAATTTTAAACAACCTTAATCTTACGTTCTTGTCTTGTCTATATCTGTGAAGACAGGCATTTTGTAGAAAACTATTTTAATAGAAACAAAATTGTTATTAGATTGGTCTAAGTCCAACATATCACCAGAGCTATACTAAACCAATTCTAAATATAGATGATGTATTTCAGGCCATGAATCATGTACAGAATATTGAACATAGATTGAAAGGAATTATTAAGAATAAAACTAAACCTAGAGGGCTACCATTATCTATAGAAGGTCATGTTAATTATCTTATACAGGTACTATTCCCTTTAATATTCCTTATGCTTCTTTCTACAGTTTCATCAACATACGTATACGGACATCAGGCTCTGTCATTCTATTAGATCTTCAGAATGGCGGAATCACATATCTCTATGCCACGTCACTTCCCTCTTCACAATGTCAAGCTATTGCGAATTTTGTGTTATGTCTCGACTTCAATAAACAACTATTCTTGTATCACAGAATGCAGTTTTTTGATTGGATTGTATGTAAGAAAATACAGCGAATCAGAGCCTAAGAAAGAAAGAATTAAGCATTATGGCTTATAATTGATTGGTTGTACTTGCTTAGCATTCAGTCCAATCAAATTGCTGATTAACTAACTACATGCACAGCAACTATTGCAGTATAGCTATAAGTTGAAGTTTGTAAAAGGTTGACATTGTGAAGATGGGTGACAACTAGGTGAGATTTTTATGAAATATGAATTTATGTTTCAGGAAGCAACTGATGAGAAGAATTTAAGTCAGATGTATATTGGTTGGGCACCATATTTATAATCAGTGTTAATACTTTATAAACATATCAAAGTGCTATTATAACTGTTTAGATCTAAATAAGATCAGATTTTATGTTAACTTTTCTAAACAACTATGTTGTCAATTGTGAATGTATCCAGCTAAAATGTGAAATGGTGAAGTAATAGAATATATCTCTCTTTACTAATTAAAAATATTGTTAAATTTCTGATGTCAGTTATATGTCATTAAATTCAAAGGAACAAAGTAATAGCACAGACTACTAAGCTAGATATAAGGCCTTTTTTATCACAGTAATTTATCCATCACCAATTTTGTTTTAAGTGTCCAAATATTTGCTTTAACAGATGTCTGGTTCTTCTAAGCCAATAGCTTAGACTTTAGTCACTTCTTTGGCTTGATTGACCTTCATGCCCACAGTTATTATATTGACATTATTTGTAACAAGTGGTTACCTAGCAAAAAATGCCCACTTCCCTGATATATTTTTAGTTTATCAAGGGCAGTCGCCAATCTGACAAATCGTACCAAAAATCTAATTTCTCAAAGATATTGTTCATTTAATCAAACACACAAAATATCATAAAATTCTGACAAACTGTTACCTCTATGACCTTACAAGCATTATAAGAATGTTGATAATGTTCAGAAAAGTGATGACAGTCTAAAGCAGTGTTTATCTCAATTGCAGGAGAAGATTCTAACTTTAAGATTCTTCAATGACCTCTGTTTAAAAAGAAACATTATTCCTCACTCTCTAGGACTGTCAGATTGTATTGTGATCTTTATCAGAATTATTTAAGATCTGAATCAATTGATATTTGACTTTATTTATTTTGTAGCATCTTTACACAATCAAGAATACAATTTAGTTTTGTTGTTCAGGCTTTTATCTGTGCAGACAACTTTAGTCACTCTCCAAAATCATTCTAAATCATTCTATAACTTAGATTTAAACCTTGTTATAGCACTCCTAAGCACCTCCCACTTTGTTTATACAATGACAATATCATAGGAAATTCTCGATATCATGTTATAAATATAATATATAATTGTAATCAAGCATAACTTGAATGGGGAGTATTATGTTTTCAATAATTGATAACATGATTAGTAATATATACTATGCATCATCACTAGGTTGTTATCTAGTGAATTATAAACTATATTTATCCTGGAGCTTCACTAAGAGAGAGGTTTTTTTCAGACCATTCTTTATCTGCTCTATATTGTTGTTGAGCTATTCTTTGTGTGTTTAATCCTTCCTATGTTTTGTTGCCTTAAGTTTTGATGAATCTCATCTGCCAGTTTTAATTGAAGATTGTGATGAAGAACTTGCTGATTTTCCTGCTAGTGAACTCAATGACCTGAAATGACATTTTGTTTTAAGAAAAGGTTGGTAATATAAATGTTCACTCATGTAACAAGTAGAACAGTCATCATTGTATCATGAATACAGGTTTTGACATGGTCTTATTAACCCGTATTAAACACTACACTTCGTTTTCGGAGCGTGGCAATGAGATTGGTGCTATTTGAATCTGACAAATCAGATTGGTAGAGCAGAATTGAGGCCATGTGGCAAAACACAGCACCGCCTTGCCGCCGCCTGTTTGAAGAGATAGAACACATTCTTTCCAAGTTAATAATCCAAAGTAAGGTTTGATTTTCTCTCGGCTTCAATTCTTTAACGAAAATCTCAAAACATGTAACGGCATGCTGCTTTCGCTTTCATAAAGGGTGATTTGTTTTGATTAGCTGAAATTTGCTACCAATACAGTAGGGCCAATTTTGATTAGATAATATTTAGCTATGAATAAGTAATTCTTCCCACTATGTTACCACAAGTATGACGAAAGGGGTGTGGTTTGGACACAATGAACAGTCATAAAATCTATCATTGGGACATTTCCATATATTTCACATTTGAATTTTTCACTGAGGCAATGAAAACAAAATCAGTGAACGGAAGAGAGAAAGTGGATAACACACTTGGTTGTTGCAGAAGAATTCAGCTGAAATGTTATATACCTAGCTGATGAGACTGGTTGTTTCTTTTTAACTGGCACTGTACTTGTTTGATTGTTAGCTTTCCTACAATACAACAATTTCATTAATAATCTTCACTGTATTTCATGTATATTTTAATCTAAAACATTCATTAGAACTTTATTTTAAATGAATTCTAAGGTCTAATTGATAAGTCAATCTTGGGTGGAAGGATGGAAGTAATATTGGGATATTTCACAAAGTATATCTATGAAAAATTCAAGTCTATAAATCAGTTAGTTCACCACTATTTAAAATGATTGTAAAAAGGCTTTCCAAACTAATTATGTGTATAGGAGACACTGATACTAGCATTGACTTGCATCATTCCAATTTCAATCAGATGTCTGTGGTTCCTGCAATTCTACTAAAACTAAGCATTAAACGAGGTCACTGGCAAAAGCTGTTAATAATCTATAAGCATCTTTTGCAGTAGTAATGTCAAATACATTTCAGCATATCTATAATTACTTGAATCAGAGGCATCAAATGGAAAATGACAATGATGAAAGAGATAGAAAACCTCGTAAAAGCTCGTAACAACCTCAATTAAGGCCTTCTGTTAAATATTTAATATCTTACTTTTTATCAGTCTTGCCTTTAAATACTCTATTTACATCAAGATGAGTTTCATTATTAGTAGTTTTTTCTTGTTGTCTGGGTGAACTCATTTCAAATATTCCTTCTAAATCTACTTCTAATCTTATTGGTGCATACATGTTAAACCATTGCTGAAAGAAGATTATGTATGGCATAATGGTGAATAATTATGAAAGTAAAAAGTACAACAGTTTTCAGCGGTCCATCTATTTAATTCAGCTTCTGATTTGCATAGATTTTATGTAGAGTAAAGATGCATCTATTTTTGTATGAGATCAGACTCTACAATAACCAGTTTGACAGTTGTCGGCTAAAAACTTTAACTACATTTTTGGGGACTTTCTTACTCCACTGGTGTTTGTGGGAATGTAATCATACATGTGTTTGGTTTTTTTTTTTCCAGTTCTATCTTTTACTTATGAAAAGGCTTAACAGTTTAACTGATTATATCTGATTCCAAGGTCAAGGATAGTTGGAAAGTTTCAGACTTTGATCACACCTCTATTGTCATAACAGTGTTAACAACCTTGACCTTTAAAATTTTAATTGAGTCAGGCAACAAATTTTCTTACCTTTGCTTGAAGACTAAGACCAATATCTGTAAAGGCAAACTGCCACTGAGGTAGACCTAGATGCATTAACATAAGACGAAAGTATGCCAGAAAGGAATCTGCTAAGAAATGCCACCTTAAACTCCTATCAAGAAACCATACCTCAGCTGGTGATTCATTTGTACCTAGTAATCAGAAACAAAGCTTGAGGACAATTACTTGACAGAAAAGTTGAATTAATCATAATATTTAAAACCTTATTGTTGTACTACAATAAAACAAGGCACGTTTAACATCCAGTATTCACCAACAGAGGTAAATTGCAATAGATAAAGATACTTTTCAATGTACACTGTCTTCAACAGCAGCCAGGCAGTTCATAAAACTATTTCATTATATTTTCAAATTCACAGTTTAAAGGAGTCCAATAATGATATTTTTAGGATTTAAAGTATTCTATTTCATTAGACTAAGACTAAAAAATTATTTATAAGTTATTAAAAGGAACTATAAATGGGGGTAAATGGGAGTGTTAAGAGATATTGTTAGTATACATGGTAAATCTTGCAAATGTTCAGTGTTTCCAATTAAATTATTAAGTCCAATTATTAGAAGTCTTAAGAAAATCTCTCTACAAAATACTTTATTTAGGAGGTTACTAGTTAAACAATCATGGGAAAAAGCATCTTCACAATGTCATTGCTATTACAAACTTTGTATCATGGGAGTTTGTAAATGAAGCAACTTGATTGGATTGTTTGCTAGCTAATACAGCCAATCAGAAGCCTCAACAGGCAGTCTGTGAACACAAAGCCATAATGTTTGCAGCCTTTCTGTTGAGGGCTCTGATGAGCATCCAATCCAATCAAATCGCTGTATTCCGTGTTACAAGAATGTGGCTATTTCAGTCAAGGTATAAGTCTGAAGTTTGTAAAAGCTTGACATTGTGAAAATGGGTAGAAAGGAGATTTATATATAAGTTGACTAGGAAGAATAATTACAGACCCAAAGAAAATTAATTAAAAACAGGATTATTTCTTTTACCCAGTACTGATGATTGAATATTGTCTTCAATTTCACTGCTATCTGTATGGTCTGGTGGAAAAGTAATTGAAAATTGTTAAAGGATAGCTTAAGTTACAGGCTTCCTTCCAAAATATATTTACAGAATTTTGAAAATACTTGCAAAGAACATGTAAGATACTTTTGATGTACTGTATATAATATTTTTGGTAATAAAATTTGTGCATACTTCCCATATAAATGCACTATTTCAATGTAGAATTTTAAAAAGTTTCACTAAAAATCTCCAACCATAATATACATTGAAAAAGAAGGCAAACAGGAATACCATAGCAATTAAGAGAAACTTTGTGCTTTCCTTTGTTTACAGACACTCTCCTTTAACAATAAACTTGCTTGTATTGATTAATTATGTGCTGCATGTTCAACTTTTATTAGCATGCAGAAGGAATCTATATATGGTTGAAAAAGATATTTTATTTTATAACCCAAAAACTTACCTGATTTTTTCTTGATATATATACAAACTTTTCCATACCCACTGCAGTCATCTAACTCATAAATTCCATTTGATCCACAAAATTTAGGTTTTTCCCTACCTGCAATACAGAAAATAACAGTATGGTAGGGAGATATAAAATAAAATAACATGTATTCTGCTTCTGAATGGCTTCTTGATGGTTGAAAGACATTGGCTATAATCCACTCCTATTTTGAGTACTAATTGCCTAGAGTAATACGCTTTTTCCTCTGTTATTCTATTAGCATTTCACTAACAGGAGAAATCCAGAAATCCATGACTTGCCCCTGAAACCAGACCAGGACTGAACCACTTTCAGGAATATTGGACCACCTACAAAAGGTGGTTTAGTCTGTGGTTCAATCAATTACATGTAGGATAATAAAATAAGTTATACCGGTACCTCCAATTTCTTCATCATCAGATTCAGTTTCTAAATCAGCTAATGATGGTTGAACTAGATTAGTATTACCACTAACTATTGATGTATTTAGTTTATTTACTTGGATTAAAGGATGAATATGCATTCTACCGACTGGTGTTTCACCATCTACATTCATAAGAATGAGATCAAGATTAAATGCAAAAATTTCCAGAAATATTGCATAAGGTAAAATATCATTTTTCAATTTTGGGGGGTTTTGAGTGGATCTATATCATGATTCTGATGAAAATCAGGCAACAAACTGCACAGTTCATATTTCTTCTCTTAAAAATTAATTGACATTAGTAATCCTGATCATGAAAAAGTTTTAAAGTCACAGGCTACAGGGTCCTTTTCTTTTATAAATTTCAAACATAAGCTCCTGATATGTTCAGTTCCAAGGTTATTGAGACCATTGCAAAATGCTTGATCTGTGAGAATATTACTTACTGTCTATATGTACTGACCATGTTAGATCAAACCCATTACTGGATAAATAGAAATTTTTGAGATCTTCAGGTAATAAACAACTGTTTCTCTGTAACACAAGTGCCATACATTATGTGTCTGTGATTGTATTCATGGAGTGAAAACCATTAAGATCAAAAGAACAATTATGAACATGATTTAAAGGGAGAGAATTAAGAAAGTCAAGATCGGAAATACTTTTTGAAACCTTGAAACAAATATGAGCTATAAATAAATATACTGTACAAAATTAACGGTAAGCTATCATCACCTAACTAAAAGCCAAAGATAAATTATTTTAATTTCTTAAACTTAGAAATGGCATCCTAGTGTTAACTGGAATAAGAAAGGCATCTCTGTTAAATAATGTGTGTCTTCACTCAGTATTCTCACCTGTTCCCATGACAGAACTGTAGGTCTTTCAGCTGGATTTTTTTCGTGTAACTTCACTTTTCTGGTGCCCTTCTTTCGGTCTGTAAGATAATACTTTTGACATTTGTTGTATTGATTTTTAACTGACCAAGGGTCATTTAATTGCCTGAAGCACAATGTACATGTATTCTATGAATATCAACTTGTCTTATCAAGTCACAAGTACACACTTTTTGAATGCCATTTAGTGACTTGTTTACTCTGTGACTACATTGAGTTCTAAATTGAATTTTTTCTCTCATGTCACAAATATTCAAAATATGATTTTCAAGTGCATACCAATCTCTGTCTGTAAAATCATAGTTTCAAATAATTTTGTTTTCAATGGTTGGCATTTTCATCAAAGACAATCTAAGACTTGGAGATTAATATTTCAATTCATACAAAAATGATAGCCAAAATGTGATTTAGAACTTTTGATGTGACCAGAGAGTAGGTTAAAGTAGGCCTACAGGTGGGGATGTTGATTTGAATATACGTATGAAAATTTAACTTCTAATTTATTTCATTCACATGCTTATCTTCTTTCTAAAAAATTTGGGTATCCGAATTATGAAAGTCTTGTTGATACCAACTAAGTCTACATCTTCTATTGGATTTGAAGGCCTTACAATCTCCTTCTTATTCCTTACCTAGATACTTCACTACACCTATGCTTAATTGCCTTTCTAAATAAACTGATCTTGGTGTTCCTTCTGTCATTGTCTCTATTTTACGTTCAATAAACAAAAATCATTTCAGTCCATGTTCTTAAAAAATAGTAGCGTCGTCCTCCATGTTTGTTACTAATACAGCATTTTGATCTCAAATGGTGAGAGCAGATATACAAGGGAAGTAATCAATTTCATTATTCCAGCCCACAAATAAATTTTTCCACTGTTAATCAATGCAATGAAGGTGTCTGAAAGGCACTGGAGGCACATACACATGTACATGGAGGTGATCGGATGAAAATATGAAAATATTACTTATAAAGGTCTCCTGTCTCCTGTTCCTGCGTGATGTCAAATGGATAGTTTGGAAGTCATATACATCTGAGCCAACTTGAAAATGCTTATCTGCAGCCACTTGCTATATTTGTCATTGTTTTTCTAAGGAAAGTTAACGAAGAACCTTGGGCTTCTTTTCATCAATTTATCACTTGAAAATTAGGTAAGAACAATTGAATGGGCATAATGTATCATTTCGGTTTTAAAGAAAATACTTTTATCTGGTCTTGGACTTTCTTAGCTAGCAGTCAAGTGGCTTTATCAAATATTAGGAAAACAAAACACATTCATGAAGATAAAAAAAAAATGATATAGTAATATAACATAACAGTCAATTCAAAATATAAACAGTTACTTACAAATAATAATTTATATAATATACAAGAATATAACAATAAGTAACTTGTGAAGTATAAAATATGAAAAATCAGAACTGCACAATCTAAAAGCTATAAAATGTTCTTACTATAATATCTAAAAATTGAAAAATATACAAAAAACAGTATAATATATTAGATAACAAATGAAACAATATTAAAGGGATTGTAAAAAGGTTTTCTAAATTTTTTACGTGTTTCGGGGACACTGATAGTATCAATTAACACCATTCCAATTTTCAATCAATAGTTCCAGCCATTCCTCTAAAACTAACTTTTTGATGACTTCACTAATCACAAAATATACTTTATCACATTTGCGATTAGTGACACCATCAAACATTTAGTTTTAGCGGAATTGCAGGAACCACAGACATCTGATTGAAAATTGGAATAGTACAAATTGATGCTAACAGTGTTCCAGATACACATAAAAAATTTGGAAAACCTCTTTACAATCCCTTTAACAGTTGTAAGCAAGTACTAATTATAACTAGGTTACAAAGGCCTACTCTATTAAAGTTTATATATTATAATATATTACACAATACAAGCTAAAACCCCACAACAATAATATAACAATACATCACAGATCAGAACTGTATACTTTTCTATAATAAAAGTTACAAAAATTTTCCTAAAATCTAATCATTAAACTATATAATATTGACCTCTCTTAATAAAAGAATTTAAAATAAAAAGGCAGTTATGATAGGAACAATAAGATTGGAGTATGTTTAAGGAGTGTAGAATACAGTCAGAAATGAACTATAAATCTTGGTTTTTTGGTTTTCTCGGTTCTGGAGAATCTGGTTTTGATTGATCTTAGCTAATCAGTCTCGACACAGGCTTATTTTCTGCTAGGCAGGCTTTGGATTAAATTTAGTTCAAGACACTTCTTTTTCTATTGCAAATAATTAGATACCTTTTTCAATTGTTCCCTTTTTTGAAACATGAAAAAAAAAAAACTACACAGAAGTTACATTTTCTCCCAATGAAAATTCAATGTAAAGAAGAGTTTATTGCACTGAACAACTTTCTCGCCATCGTATTCAGCTCTCAAATGTCTCGGAACTGTACATTTATAATGACAAACTCCATGGATGTTATAATTACACACAAATTTCTTTTCTGTTAAATCATGGATCAATATTTTCATAATTGTATCTTCATCAAAATCCATGGCCCACGGTCCAAAAGATACGTTAGAAGTTCTTACAATGTCATTTTGAAAAAAGTCTTTAACTTGCTGAAAACATTCATGATTTTGATCAAATTCAGGATATTCTGTTATAAGAGCACGTCTATTTAAAGTTAAGCTAACTTTTGACATTGGTGATGTGATACCCAGCTGTTCTACTTCTGTAGCTTTTTTGATCACATTATTTAAAAATTTGTGATAACCTCGAATTCGCGACAGAAATTTTTCTTTCATTTTGATGCCGATAAGAGGAGGACTGTTTTCAAGAATTTCAACCAAGTCACTGATTCCAAAATAACAGGCATCCTGATATACTTTGGTACGTAGATTATAAGGTGGTAATTCATCGTATCTCATATAACGTAAAATGTGACTAAACATTTCTCCATCAGCATCAATAAAGTAGCGGCCATCTTGGTCTTTTTGAATATCAAAATTGCCACTAAACATGGCAGCTAACATAGTATCAGTTCTTTTAGTCAGAGTCAACAGTGTTGTGGAATATTTCATGCCTCCAACATTTAATTCAATTATTGGTGGAAACTGAAATATAGATATTTTAAGCAATAATGAACTAACAGCCAGCCAGCACTTCAGAAGATCCAGAAAATGATTGTGCTGTATCAGTGGTGTATTTTGAAAAGGGGTGGGGTGGGGGGGGGGGGGGGGGTGGATGTATCCTTCTTTCATTGCCAAAATAGTGTCAAATGTATTCTAATCCTTCCTCGGGAGAAATGTCTAAAGGGGGGGGGATGGGGACACTGACCCCCCCCACCCCCCATCATGACCAGTGCCTTCTAAAATCTGAATGGGGAGCCCAAGTGCTCATATGCCTGATATGGTCAGATGGTCATTGATCAAACTAGATCTAGATCTTATTATTTTATATGATATAGGCCTACAGAGTTAGAAGAATGTCTTGATAGGTTAGGTTGGTGATAATGTCTCATCATCTTTTAAATATTTAGTTATCAAACCTCATGTTTGACATAAGACAAAATTAATTTAATAGACAGAAATGACAGAAAAACAAAAATACTTTTCGACGTCACTGAGGTGACCGAGAAGCAGGATGGACTGTGGTCTACTAAGTTACCAGTTTCCAGCTAAACCTTGTTAGCCTACCTTGAAACTCAAGGTTTTGCATACAATCATTTGCCAATGCTATGCATTTCTCAATTTTTCAGGCTATAAATGGGATCTGGACTGGAAATATAACAACAAACCTTTTTACATATTGCAGAGTTTTTACTACCTTCACCCATTTTGACATGTAAACAAACGGCAATAACTCTTCATGTTATGATTACATTCAGACAACAACTAACTTGTTAGTTGATAAAACTGGTAGTCCGGATAGTTTGACTTTGGTGATTTAATAATGTTGCGACAAATTTGGTGTACATTGTTATACAATTATTTCAGGGACAGTGCTCTTCGGCTCCTACGCACATGTAGGCCTAGGCTGCACAAAGATAAATTTTTGGGTTGTTTTTTTTTATTATTGAAAACCTGTACATTGTGGGGCGTTTTGCAAGGAAATTCGATCGGACGCACCATCTGTGTTGACAATAAATGGCTACATGAGATCTGGACTATTAAAAAGGAAAGGTTTAGTTGTCCATTGAAATTATGCTATTTTGTGTCTTCTCCTACATCTAGCTTTACAGTGATTAACCAGGTTAAGGGGCAGTAACTTCTGACGTATTATAAGCTAAGTGATATGGTTGAACACATAGATATCCTATGTCTATGGTTGAACAGGTCAAATAAAAATTTCTTCCATTTGTATGCTCCTGTGTGGGAAAATGACCACGGACTGTGTAATGCAGTGAGCAATGGGGAAAAAATATTCCCCTTAACAACTTAAGCCTAACAATCCACTAATCTTATCTACAGCCACTTGAAAACAACATTTACCGGATTATGTAAAGGAAAAAAAATTGAAAAATAAAAGTAGCAATCGCTGGCCCTAATCGAAACTCATCGTTTAAAAATGTTAAAAAAGTCCAGTAATTGATGGAGGATAGGAACATAGATATTTTATATTATGATCTTGAAGAAACAATTGATATATCGTGTAACAAGCGGACTTCATGGCAATTTATCATCGAATCTATAATAGTTTCAATGTCTTTGACGATACAAGTAATATAAGGCATGGGATATGGCATGGAATACTTTGATTAGACTAATCCGATAAAACCTGACGATTAATTTGTAAGCAAGGTGATTAGCCATCTACGCTAATGCCATTAAATCAAAATGACATCGATAGTAAACAATCAGATTAAGCAATTAAACTGTTATTAAAAATGTCTAGCAACTCGCAACTATAGCTCCGGTATAATTCATTTGAAATAAATGCGTCAGTCCGTGACCTCTTATTTCAAGTTTCTAGGTCAGGTCAGGATGAGTGAATCAGACGAAACTAGTGCATTGTGGGGAATTTCTAACTCAGTGAGGACGGAAAAAATGGAACCGTTGGATTACACGTTATTTGGTTTAGCTCTTTTAATTTTTATAAGTTGGTCTGTGAATTGGTTTTTACATATATTAGCTATTGTTTATGGGTAAGTGGATTATATTACATGTATATCGTTTTTCATTCAACTTTACTGTTTTCTTACCGTAAATATTTGACATATTTTACCGGCGAAATGTCAAATAGTTGAGTTGTAGCGTATATAGTTACATTTACTCAACCTATTCCGAATCACAAGATCCTTGTTTTTGAACTCTATACGCAATTTCGACAAGTAGATTACATGAATTTCGCAATTATGGTTGATGTTAGTATTTCGGTTTAACACAACATTTTAAAACAAAGTGTAAAAAAATGTAACAAAGTGTTAATTTATGTTAGTATATTATCCGATATTAAATGGTAAGCCATACACATGCAGGTACTACAGGGTAAACTGAAGTTCTGTATACACCTGGTGTAAATATCAATACTCTTCTCTGACCAAAGAATTAATGTTCTGGTATTTAACAATAAAGGACATAAAACTCCATTCATTTCATTTTCCAAAAAAAAATTTATTGCATAGGCCTACCATTTACCATACGCAAGTATGTCTTTTGGTTAATTAATGTTTTATAATTTTGAAGGTAAAATAAAAACATTTCTCTCTTTATAATAATGTCCTTAAAAAATTACTGACATATCTCAATTAAAATTCTCTTTTGTAGCATTATATTCTAAAATAATTTTTTCATTGGTGTCTCGCTTGGTGCTAATATTTTCATTCCTATAAGGAAATGATTTTGTGAATATTGTTTTTGGATACCATGGTAGGCTTTCCAATTTCTCATATAACAAGACAACGTGCTTGATTCAAACTCTGATACAATATACAGTTCTGATCCAGCATTGCTTTGCACATTTAAGGGATAGATTCCACATTCTTTTGACCAATCATACCTTAATCTCAGAACAGGATTTATCTAGCTAAGCTAATGACTAATAGTGTTCACAACTATCTGTTGAAATTCAAGCCTTTGAATCAATGGTGTCCAGACTCATCCAAGTTAGAAAGTTAAAATGACGATTTGTCTTTTCTTCAGGCTCTGCCATAATATATAGAAAAGACATATATAGAAATAGAAATTTGTAGTTTACTTAAGTATATTTGAAGAAATTATGCGATTTCTATATATCTTCTATATTTGCCAGACCCAAATCACCTTCCCTTTTTTTTGAGAGTCAATTTAAATGTTTTGGTTATTGCACACTCAAATCTCATGTTGTGAAATATTATTACCATTAGGCCTGATTTCTTAATTAGCTAGATTGGATTGATTAATTAAAACAAGTAATTAGGTATTGAAGGCTTATTAATCACATGAAAACAACTGTAAGAAATTGAATAACAGCAGGAAAAATTAACATCTATATTACCATGGTGATAGGTTTCTTTAAACCCTGATAATTATATCTTACTTATTTGTCTTGAAGTATTGTAAGTCACTGTATCAATTTACAGGTTTTGGATATTTACGTCAATGCTCTTTTATATCCTTAGTTTCACCATAATATTATGATATTTTGAATGACTATTCGGCCTACCTTGTTTACTCAACCAACTATTCAATTTCATTCATGAATTATGATTATCAGAGCTATTTTAAGAATAAAGTATACCTTTGGTCACGAATCTGATTATTACTCATTGTCACTTTATTGCTTCATTCTGATACATGTGTAGGCTTCCATAATAAAGAGCAGCAAGTTTTTATGTCAAAGTAATAAAACCATATGCAAATATTGTGTCCAAATAGCAAGCAGATTGCCACTCTCCATTAAAGGGACAAGTGTCATTTTAGTCTTGAATATATGTAAATAGTTTTGAGAAGTACTAGAAATGTATGAAAATGACATAATTCCTTCCATAATATCTCAAACTGGGAATATCCCTTTTCTATTTCTATCTAGATGTCTTTTCTATAAGTGTCTCATAAATAGAGAACTCGTCTATTTAACTTTCAAACCTGGATAATTTTGGACACACATGGGTTTGAAGGCTCAAATTTCAACGGTGATCTCTGAACATTATTACTGATTGCCTTAGCTAAAAAATTCCAGTTTCTGAGCCTAAAGTATGATTGGTCAAAAAATTCAATTCTTTCTGGAAAATAATTTTATCCAGGTCAAGGTTGATATGAATATGAATGACTTGCCTCTATTTAAGTTAAAACAAAAAAATCATGTTGACTAAATTTTTGTACATGTGCCCATGTTTTATGATACTTTTTTAATATAAATGTGTGATATATCAAAATATTACAATGTTATTTTTATAGTAATTTATAGTAAATATGTCTGTCATTAACATTTTTATGTTGTTGGTTATTGTAGAAAATGGAAGTTACACCACAAATTAAAAAGTCCCACTCCAGAAGAACTTCCTGGTGTCTCTATTATAAAACCATTAGTTGGAATAGATCCACATTTATTTGAAAATTTAGAAACCTTTTTTAACATGAAGTATCCACAGGTGAGTTTGTATTCAAATTTGTTTTAGGTCTAGTGCACATAGAATGGGGTTTTAATGAGGAAATTCAATGGTAATAACTATTCTGATGGTTTAAAATTTTAATTGAAAATCAATTTATTCATTGATACATCATTGAAAACATTGATTAAGACTTCATGCTCTATGAACTGACAAATATTCAACTTATGACAATAGTTTATAGGTGTTTTACTGTACATACACATGGTAAACAAACACATATTTAGGGCAACCCCCCTCAGGGTGGGGTCCGTAGGGGCTGGACCCCAGCAAGTGAGAATGAACCCCAGCAAAACTTTCTTCAGTTCAGCAAAGATTCATTCATTTACAAATTTACAAATTTTGAAATTGTTTAGAATCTGGATTATGATGAGGAAACAAATAAAGTGTGTTTAAATACATGGATATATTTGGGATGTTAAAATATAAGATATCCAACAATCATTCAAATTCCCCCTCCCCATCCCCTCATCAACTCATTGGTAGCATCAGACATGACATATGATAACACTGATATATTGATAAATAGTTCAGACATTGAAGGTTGAAAATGTTCTGTCTGAAGGAATGTCAAGATGTCCTATTATCTTTACAATAGTGTAGTAATCAGCAATACTGATCTCTATCACACCATGCCTCATTGAATACAATCTCTTCAAGTACTCACAATTTGAAAGAGCTTTACCACAGTGCTCCCTTTCATTGCTGTGAAATGCAATCACGTGTGTCCGTTCTGAAGTGTTAAATGTAGTGAGAGGCTTGAGGCTTTGTTTCAAGATTTTTGCAAGAGATTGATTTTATATTTGATTCTTGTTTTTGTATTATTTATAACCATTCCATTTTTCATGACTCTGCAAGTGGAAATGATATTAGAAAGCAATCACTATCGGCAAAAATTGATTATGTCTGGCTTGTACATGTGATTTGAAATAATTTGAAGCATTGATTAGCTCATTAAAACGCTCTCTCTAATTCTATAAGTGCCTCATTTCTGATTTATACTTGTGTAATGAGTAGGCTATTTTAGGATGATTTTTAACATGACAGAATTTGACCAGTTATCTACATTTATTGGCTTATATATCTGACGGTTTAAAAAAATTTAAAATTGAATTAGTTCAAGTCTGTGCATATTTAATTGCTTGTATAAACTTATCATAGATTTATTTTGAAAATTTCACTTAGGAAGTAAGTTCAAATTGATACTTCTCAATCCATTCTCAAGGTCTTTTATGAGAAATCAAGGCTTTGATTACCTTGTAATTTCTCATCTGTAGTAAGTGATTATAGTGATTAAATTACAATCGAATGCCTCAAGCAATCCAGTCGACTCTTGGGAAATATCCAACAATTCTTACTGAAATTAAGTTGTCTGCTTCTAAAAGTAGTAAATGTACTTTAAATAATTCTGATATACATCAACATGACAAATTCTTATTTATGGATTACGCTACTGAAACATTACGAATAGGTTTTTTTGTAGTTACTGGTACCTATATTATCATACCATTCCATCTTCCCTTCTTATTATATTTTGTCAAGTTTCTGGTGCTACAGATTTTTGAAGCACATTTTTTACAACAATCGTTACTGTTTTGTTATTGTACCTTTGTAATTGTAATTTTGTAAATTGAAAATAGTTGAATTGAGTTTGATATTCATTTGTTGGTGACCAATTTCCCTGTACAAATGACTTTAATGATCTTACTGTCTGCTATAGACTAGTTTCGAACAGGATTGGATATCCTCATGAAATCTGTGACTATAAGGTCTATAAGAGGTAGAAATCTGTTCTACTTTGCTAGTGTTTCAATATTGTACATTCCAGGCAATAAGATAAAGCTTTGTATTGATCTGTTGGATAACTTCTCTTCTATAAGGCTATTTATTATTTGATATAATAGAGACAGGAAAAAACTACATTACAATGATTATCTCTAGAAAATAGGAGGAAGAGTTTATTAATGATGTCTGTGGTTTTCATTTGATGGTCGATATTTTCTTGATTTAGGCCCACCCAATAGTGTAACATAATTGTTGGTTTTGAAATAGACCTTTAAGATAGATCTTGTGCTAAAATCTCATTGCATTCTACATCTCATTAGATAACCTTACAAACCCTTAGAACAACACAGAATAATTTAAAGCACAATATCCTTTGGTTTGGTGTGTAATCATGTGAAAATTGCCAATGAATAAGATAATGTCAATATAGGTAGCTCCAGTCAGTCTAATATAAAACAAATGAGTTACAATTATTGAATGAAAGTCACTATAGATTTATGAATGGGAATATGTAAATGATGTCTGATGGTTCTCATGTTTGAATGATTATTGGTCATAGGGAAAATGGATACCAAACATTACTTCACAAAAAACACTTAGTACTATTGTCTTACACTGGTTATCAGTAATGGAGGTTTGTGTACAAGTCCCTCTGGAGCTTCAATTTACCTCTGATGTGGAACTGGTGTCATACATATGGCCAACATCAGACAATGATAAGAGTTTGTTTTCATAATCATTCCTTTGATGATGGCCAATTTGATAAATGTTCTAAATCATTTCCCTTAAGATATCACATTCATAGTTTCTACATGTTGCTATGGTCCAAATTAATGATGAATCACATTCATTAACACTTTTGACCTGTTGGATATTTCAATTTTTATCAAATTTATTGCTGTATTTTTGTATTGCTCCCCTTGGTGGTTTGATTTGATGGATTAAGAGTGATTTTGACATGTTTGTTTTTAATTTGGACTATATAGGTCACCTTTTCAATCTCTTGACCAATTGAGAATAACTTATTGCTGATGGTGTGGGCACACAAAGGCTCTTGGTCGAGGGTTTTTGTTTTGCTGATGGGCCGTGGGCACACAAAAAGACAAAAACTCATGTTTTCCACTTTGTTGTTAATCATGCGGATCATGCATTTGAAAGGAAAGTGAATCTGATGATGATGCTCTCTTGCAGATGATAAACCAATCGGCGACAAATATCAAACAGGCACGTTCAAGATTTTACTCAGGAATCGGCTACCAAAATTGTTTGTTTATCTAAGTACTACTTAAAAAAAGAAATATTGCTGCAAATATCAAGCAAGATCAGAAAGAACTGGGCTGTGTCCTTAGGCTAATTCAAATTATTTTGTAATACTTTAACATTTTCTTTGCTTTGATCTTTAAAGATAACTCTGACATAATCTTTTATGACTGTAATATCTGATATGATCAGAACTTGATAAAACTCAAAAAAATCTTTTTAACAAAAATCTTAAAACATGTACAGATATCCTGGGGCAGCCAATAGTACAACAAGACAATATAAACCTGAGTTGTTATTATAATGCTGAGGGCTATATGTGACAATAGGAAGGTAGTTTCTATTGTCAACATGACAGGTAGAATACAGGCTAATTAGTAATACAGGTATTAGTGTAATAAATAATTGTGTAGTTATGTCTTGTTACCATACAAATAGTGTATCATGACCTTGTTGTTTATGTTTATTACATATATTTTTCATTTCGGTTTACATGATTATTATAATTCAGAATCATTCATTGTTTTACTTCCTTTTTCCTCATAATTTAGAACAAAAAAAGTTCAACTCTTAAAGGGTCTGGTGCACCATTTTAGGGGGTTGATTTGAGTCTTGAAGATATGTAAATAGTCTTCAGAAGTACTAGAAATGTAGGAAAATCGCATAATTCTGTCAAAAATTTTTCACACTAGAAATTTCTTTTCCTATTTCTATAGTTGTCTTTTCTATATATATGGCAGTCTCAAAAATAGACAACTCTTCATTTAACCTTTCAAATGTGGATAATTCTGGACACACATGGATTTGAAGGCTAAAATTTAGATGATGAACTGTGAACACTAATACTGATTGGCTTAGCTAAAAAAATTATCATTTCTGAGACTAAAAGTACTATAGTTCAAAAATGGTACATCTGTCCCTTTAAACATTTTTTCAAACCGTTGAACTACCAACTATGTAAGTATACAAAATATCTTATAAATTGAGTTAAGAGTTCTTGCAAATGATACTAGTTAATTTAACATCAACTATTGTTACCTACAAATTGAAATGTCAAGAACAATTTAGGAGCAGGAATAGAGTTTTTAGAATAAATGTCAAATGCAGATTTAAAAGTGATATAATTAAACTGTTCATTTCTATTTCATTATTTGCCCATTCTCGCATTTCTTACAACCAGAAAAACATTTTAAACTTGACAAGAATCTTCAAATGAAAATTGACACTTTTAAAGCAGTTGAGACTGTCTTTTTTTTTACTCATTTAGAATATACGAATTAATTTTTTGCCAAAGTTAAAAATTTTGAGATAATTAATTAATTCATGAATGAATGAATGAAAGAATGCATTCATTCATTCATTCATTCATTCATTCATTCATTCATTCATTCATTCATTCATTCATTTACGCTCAGACAAGATAATATGAAGCTGTCAGGTAGAGTAAGATTATGTTATATAAGAATGATTTATGAGTTGACCATCTAAGATTATGATATTATAATTTATAAGTGTATCAAATGCAATTAACCAAGAGTTTAATGGATTGCTTGACCCTTAGTTTTAACTTGATGAAGAAGTTTTAGTATTTGTACTTCATTTTGCTAATGGAATTTTTCCTCTGGATTGATAGCCTACATAAACTATGGCAGAAAATATAATATCTTCGCATGAAGAGTATCAACTAAATGAAAAACTTAATTTTTGGTTTCATGTAGAAGAGCAATGAAATAAATATATATTTAAAAAGAAAATGCTAATGATAATTAGATTTTTCACAAGATGAGTGTTAATAGTGAGCTGATAATGGATTTGATTACAATATTGTTAGGACTATCCTTTATAAGATAATCCATCATTCTTCTATATCAAGAAAAAACTGTGACAGAAAGTGTGGGATGAAAATGGATACTGTCCCCAAGGAAATTTTTTTTCCA